GTCTCTCTGTCCCTCTCTCTGTGTGTGTCTCTCTCTGTCTCTCTCCATCTATCCATCTCCTTCATCTGTCTGTTTCTCTCTGTCTCTGTTTCTCTCCATCCATCTCTGTCTCTGTGTGTGTCCAGCTTTTCCACTTCTGGAAATACACCCAAAGGGACTGAAAACAGCCCTCGCTGATGTGGCTAAGTGGCTAGAGCACTGGCTGGGGACTAAAGGGTCCTGGGTTCGATTCTGGTCAAGGGCACATAGGGGTGGCGGGGGGGGGGGGGGGGGGAGGCGGGGTTTGCAGGCTTGGTCCCCTAGGCAGCTGATCAAGGATTCTCTCTCATCATTAATATTTCTAGCTCTCTCTCTCTCTTTTCCTCTCTAAAATCAATAAAAATATATATTTTTTAAAAAGAATCAATAAACATATTATCCGGTGAGAATGCAAATAAATATAAATAAATAAAACCCACCAGGACTGCCTTGAGAGTGCTCGTTGCAGTGCAAAGGGTGGGGGTGAGGGGGGTGGGAGGTAGGGGTGAGGGGTGGGGGGGGGTGAGGGGCGCATCAAGACCCAGTGAGCAGAATCACCCATTTCCCAGCGGGCGGGCAGAAAGTGGACACCAGTGTCCAGGGGTGCTGGGCAGCGGAAGGGCTGTGTGCACATGGCTCACGGCCAGGAGGGGGCAGCAGAGGAACTCCGTTTGCAAGACCAAGAACCAGCTGTCAGGCTGAGTGATCAAAGGCTGAGGACCAGCCCTGAATGGTGTGACTCAGTGGATAAAGTGTGGGGCGGACTAAAGGGTCCCAGGTTTGATTTGGGCCATGGGCATGGGTTGCGGGCTCCATCCCCAGCCCTCTCACCCCCCCAGTAGGGGGTGTGCAGGAGGCAGCAGATCCATGATTCTCTCTCATTATTAATCTCTCTCTCTCTCTCTCTCTCTCTCTCTCCCTCCCTCTCCCTCCCTCTCTCCTCTCTCCTCTTTCCTCTCTCTCTCTTCCTCTTTGAAACCAATAAAAATATTTACAAAGCCTTAACCTGTTTGGCTCAGTGAATAGAGCATCGGCCTGCGGACTAAAGGGTCCCAGGTTTGATTCCGGTCAAGGGCATGTACCTTGGTTGTGGGCACATCCCCAGTAGGGGGTGTGCAGGAGGCAGCTGATGGATGTTTCTCTCTCATCGATGTTTCTAACTCTATCCCTCTCCTTTCCTCTCTGTAAAAAATCAATAAAATATATTTTTAGCCGAAACCAGTTTGGCTCAGTGGTAGAGCGTCGGTCTCCGGACTGAAGGGTCCCAGGTTCGATTCCAGTCAAGGGCATGTACATTGGTTGTGGGCACATCCCCAGTAGGGGGTGTGCAGGAGGCAGCTGGTTGATGTTTCTCTCTGATCGGCATTTCTGGCTCTCTATCTCTCTCTCTTCCTCCTATAAAAAATCAATAATTAATATATATATATATATATATATATATATATATATATATATATATTTTTTTTTTTTTTTTTTTAACAAAACAAGAGGTGAGGACCTGGTGGCAGGAAGATAGTGCGGGCTGCGCAGGGAACACTCCGTAACCATCGAGCAGACAGAGAGCCCAGCCCGCACTCGGATCCCTGACCGCCAGGACACTGACTTGAGGCGAAGGTGCGCCCCACCCGGGGAGAGCGGGGACTTTCCGTCAGTGGTTCCTGGGTGTTCCAGGAGGGCGTATACTTTTACTGCATATACAGCTTTTACAGCTCTTACCGCAGGGAAGCAGGAAATGGTGCGGGCGCTGACCCACCCTCCCAGAGGCTCTCCAGCTGCACCAGAGGCTCAGAGGCGCTGGCAAAAAATGTAATAATAAAATTTCAACTTATTGTTAAAAAATAATAAATTCATGCCCTGACCAGTTTGGCTCAGTGGACAGAGTCTCGGCCTGCGGACTGAAGGGTCCCAGGTTCGAGCCCAGTCAAGGGCATGTACCTTGGATGCAGACACATCCCAAGTGGGGGGTGTGCAGGAGGCAGCTGATCGATGTTTCTAACTTTCTATCCCTCTCCCTTCCTCTCTGTAAAAAAAAAAACAATTAAAATCGCCAAAACCGGTTTGGCTCAATGGATAGAGCATCAGCTTGGGGACTGAAGGGTCCTGGGTTTGATTCCGGTCAAGGGCATGTACCTTGGTTGTGGGCACATCCCTGGTGGGGGATGTGCAGGAGGCAGCTGGTCAATGTATCTTTCTCATCGATGTTTCTATCTCTCTCCCTTCCTCTCTGTACAAAATCATAAAATATATTTTAAAAAATAATAAAATAAAAAAAAACAATTAAAATCTATTTTTAGCCAAAACCGGTTTGGCTAAGTGAATAGAGCGTCGGGTTGCGAACCGAGGGTCCCAGGTTTGATTCCGGTCAAGGGCATGTGCCTTGGTTGCGGGCACATCCCTGGTGGGGGATGTGCAGGAGGCAGCTGGTCGATGTTTCTCTCTCATCGATGTTTCTAGCTCTCTATCTCTCCCCCTTTCTCTCTGTGAAAAATCAATAAAATATGTTTAAAAAATAATAATAATCAATTCATGATCTTGAAGTAGGAAAGAATTTCTAAGAAAGACACAAAAAGAACTAACAATTCAAGGGAAATACTGACCATTTCAAATATATGACACTATCTTTGTTGTGTTTGTTTGTTTCTTTAATTTTATTTAATTTTAAATTTTATTTAAATTTTATTGATTTCAGAGAGGAAGAGAGAGAGAAACATCAACAATGAGAGAGAATCATGATCGGCTGCCTCCTGCATGCCCCCCACTGGGGATGAAGCACACATCCCAGGCATGTGCCCTTGACCAGAATGGAACCTTGGACACTTCAGTCCACAGACTGAGGCTCTATCCACTGAGCCACACTGTCCATGGAGCACAAGCCGTGGCCATGGGAGGAGACCATCCAGATGATGGCGGAGCCCTGTGGAGAGTAAAGGCATCAAGGAGCACACCCTCCTCTCCCACGGGGTTCTGATGGGACAAGTGTCTGTGTGAGCTCTGGGGAGGGAAGAACCCCGCTTTGAGTCCAGATGGAGGTCTGGGGGTGGGAGGAGAGGGGACCCTTGGCTGTGGTGGCCCCCGTGTACCTGGAAACTGGGGTGGGGCCGTTTGATGAAAAAGTGCAGCCCTAAGCCTGCTCCCCACATCCTCAGCAGACCCTGTTTCCTTTTAAAAAATGAAATGTTGCCGGGACCGGTTTGGCTCAATGGATAGAGTGTCGGCTTGGAGACTGAAAGGTCCCAGGTTCGATTCCGGTCAAGGGCATGTACCTTGGTTGCGGCATGTCCCCAGTAGGGGGTGTGCAAGAGGCAGCTGATCGATGATTCTCTCTCATCGATGTTTCTAACTCTCTGTTTCTCTCCCTTCCTCTCTGTATAAAATCAATAAAATATATTTAAAAAAAATAAATAAATAAAAATAAAAAAATAAATAAATAAAAAATGAAATGTTGCCCTGGCTCAGTGAATAGAGCATCGGCCTGTGAACCAAAGGGTTCTGGGTTCGATTCCGGTCAAGGGCACTCACCTCGGTTGCTGGCTCCTCCCGGGCCACAGCCCTGGTAGGGGCAAATGCAGGAGGCAACCAATCAATGTGTCTCTCTCTCATGGATGTTTCTCTCTGTCTCTCCCCTTCCCTTCCACTGTCTCTAAAAGTCAATGGGAAAATATCATTGGAAGAGGAGGAGGAAGAGGAGGAGGAGGAAAGACAGGCAGAAAAAAAAAAATATTTTCGCCCGGCTGGTGTGGCTCAATGGTTGTGTGCTGACCCAAGAGACTGCTGGTTTGACTCCCAGTCAGGGTAGAAGCCCAGGTTGCCGGATCAGTCTCCAGCGGTAGGCGTGCAGGAGGCAACAGGATGTCTCTCTCTCTTTCTTCCTCTCCCTTCCTTCTCTGAAAATCAACAAAACATATTTTTAAAATCACATGAAATCTTTGGAGGTCTCAGGAAAACTTGAAAATGGCCATCACAGACACGTAGAGATGGCGCTCCCGGCTCGCTGAGCCATGGTGGCCAGCTGGAGGAGATGCTCCAGGTCAGAGGACACCGCAGACGGGGGGGTGGGGCCTGGGACCCTGGGGCTCCCATGTCCTCAGAGCAACAAAGTTTTGTACACACGGGGACAGAACCACGCGTGTCAGACTGTGGTTCTAGAACCCTGGGGATGGACAGCTGTCACTGTGCAAGAGAAACATCGACCAGCTGCCTCCTGCACACCCCCAACCAAGGTACTTGCCCTAGACCAGAATCGAACCTGGGACCCTTGAATCTGCAGGCCGACGCTCTATCCACTGAGCCAAACCGCTTAGGGCTCACTCACACTTTCAGAGAGGAAGGGAGAGGGAGAGAGAGTTAGAAACGTTGATGAGAGAGAAATGTCGAGCAACTGTCTCCTGCACACCCCCTACTGGGGATGTGCCCGCAACCAAGGTACATGCCCCAGACCGGAATCGAACGTGGGACCCTTCAGTCCGCAGGCGGATCCACTGAGCCAAACCGGTGAGGGCTCACGCACTTTCTTAAATCCGACACTGGGGAGGGGCGGGGGGGCGGCGGTAACCCAGGGCACAGATTCTGTGGCTCCCAGGCGGGGCGACACAGCTGCTGAGAGGTGTGCTGGGGACAAGCTTTGTCCGATAAGAACTTAAATGCAGAGTAAGACAAAGAGTCAATGCCTCCAATATCAGATTACTTATTGTCCCAGGCCTGTTCCCCAGCAAGGCCACACCCCAAGGCCTCCCTGAAGGCCGCTAGAAGGACCTAGAGCACAGCAATGCTGTGACTCAGCCCCGAGAACAGCACCCTAAAGGTTTATGAGACACTCACTCGTTGCTCGGACACGCCTCCTCACTGGCCATTACCGCCTATAAATACCGGGGTGCAGGCACCTCCTGAGCGGCCCCAGCAGCGGCACCCATACGGCTCCCATCTCTGCCTCAGGACGCGTCCACCTTCTTCATCTGGGCCCCCACCCGCTCTCCAAACCCGAGATGTTCAAGGAGCAACACGAGGTGACCAACCTGGGGGCTCCCCAGCACTCGGGGCCCGTGGTGTCCACCGTGGTCCACGTCCCGACCGACACGGTGGTGCCCGACCACGTTGTGTGGTCCCTGTTCAACACCCTCTTCTTCAACTACTGCTGTCTGGGCTTCGTGGCGTTCGCCTACTCCGTGAAGGTGGGTGTGTGTGTCCGGGGGTGGGGGGGAGGGTTCCCCGGAAAGCATGTGTGAGCCCCCCTCCCCCCAGGTCTGCTGCCCCAACGGCCTTGGGATGGGGAGCCCTCTTGAGCGCTTTCTGTGCAGATGTGCTTGGGGGGGGGGGGCAGGTCAGGCAGCAGCTCATCCAGTGAGAGTCCTGGTGTGGGGGGGCCTGCGTGGAGGGTCGCCACCTGTCCCCACCCCTGAAGCTCTCCTTTCAATCCAACTACAGGGCTCCGCCCTCCACACCTGCCCCTCAGGCCTCGGTCTGGTCCAGAAAAAGGCAAAGTCCTCAAAGATGCAGAGCCCTGGGGGGCAGAGGGGGGGGGGCGGTGAGCGGCCAGCAAAGCGGCCAGGACTGGGGGAGAGGAGCCCTGAGGTTCTGGGGAGGCTGAGCGGCTGTGAGGAGGCCCCCCTGGCCTGGCCTGCTCAGGCTCCAGGGAACAGGGAGGGGTCCCTGACCTGGCTGAGGGCAGGTGGAGGCTGGTCTGGGCTGGAGCAGCCAGGGGCGGGCCTGAGTCATAGCGCCTGGCTGCGCCCAGGGCCCCTCCAGACCCCTCACCATCTCTTCTCCCCCAGTCTAGGGACCGGAAGATGGTGGGAGATGTGATTGGGGCACAGAGCTATGCGTCCACCGCCAAGTGCCTCAACATCACGACCCTGGTCCTGGGCATCCTGATGACCATCGGACTCATCATTCTCGTGTCCCTTGTGCTCCCGCTATACATTCAGGCGCTGACGCAGGGCATGGGGAATGGCAGGGGCTTCTAGTCACTGCCACCCAGGTGCCGCCCCGTCCTCCCCACCCTCACCCCCCGCCGGCCCCGCCTGGGCACCCGCCCCTTCCTTCATCCTACACCTGTTCACACACCTGTCAGCAGCTGAGCTCAATAAAGTGCACCTGTTCGTGACCATGCTGGCATTCCCTGGGCCAGGGCACTGCCCGGTCCCCAGCCTGCCCCTGAGACAGCCCCCCTTGCGGCTGGGAGGGGTCCTGGCACTTTCTTAGATGTTCCTGGTTTCTGGCCTCCAGCTGGGAGCAGCGGCTGGACCAGGGGCCTAGGAGCGGTCCCCTCCTTCCCAGTGTCTGACCCTGACCCAAGGGGCACTGGGCCAGACCAGCCTTGGCCCCAGGACAAGCCTCGCTGACTCCAAGTGGCTGGGAGCAGCGGTGCTGGGTGAGGGCGGCCGGCCGGTTCTCTGGAGGCCGCGGTGTCTGCACGTGGGGGCAGGGGTGCAGCCCAGGCCCCCAGCCCCTCCTGAGCGGCCCTCCAGCTCTGTCCCTGCTCCTCTGCAGGGGGCAGGGTTAGGGGCAGCCAGTGACCCTGGAGGGACAGGGGACTCAGCCTCGATGGACAGAAACCCTGAGAGGAAGCACCAATCCTCCCTCCAAACCGCCTGGGCCTGCTGGCTGGAGCTGCCAGTGCCAGGAGGGGGCTTTGACCTGAGCCTTTGCCAGGGCCTGGATGCCCGTGGGCTGGAGCCGTCCTCACCTCGACCCCCAGGCCGTGCACAGGCGCCTGGAGAGGCTGGGGGCCAGGTGGCCGGGTCTGGTGTTGGGGAGGTGACCCCCTGCAGGAGCCTTGCCCTTGGGCCCGGCCGCCTGGGCTCCAGCTGCGGGAAGGTGGGCCTGCGGGCTCTGGTCTGTGGGCAGCAGCTGTTCCCGCTGGTTCTCCCGCTGTGACCACCCTGCAGCACCTAATCCCGGGCCAGCGGCTGTGCTTTGTCTGGTGGGGGAAGGATGCCTCGCAGGAGGGTGCCCCTCGCCCCGGGGTCCCCCGTCAGAGCAGGAGGGCTGAGGCCCAGGGAGGATGGTCCTGCAGGGGGGAGGCTGGCGGACCCCCCTCCGGGTGGAGGAAGGCTTCGCTTCTCTAGGGACAGGGGACCCCGGCCGCCGCGCCCAGGGCGGGGGAGAGCCCCGCGGGCAGCCGGCAGAAGGGCGTTGCGCGCTGGAGGGAAGCCGCCCGAGGGGTTGGGACCTGGGACTGACGCGCCGCCGGTGGGGGACGCCCCGGTGCGGCCTGGACCCTGGGAGAACGGGCAGGGCAGCGGCGGGCCCCGGTGCAGCGGGCCGTGGTCGCGGGGACGCGACCGAGAGATGCGGGAGGTCAGTCCGCGGAACAGCCGCTCCCGCCCGGAGGGGGCGCCCCACACGCGGTGGGCGTGGCTTTGGGCAGTGGGCGTGGCTTGACTGGTGGGCGCGGAGGGGGCCTGGGCGGGACCGGGAATTTGCTTGACCCCATTGGCAGGAGTGACGGGGCGTGGCCTAACGGACGGGGCGTGGTTAATGGATGGGGCGGGGCCTGGCGAGCAGAGGGACTCGCTGTGCCTCCCTTCCCGGCCTCAGGTCCGTTTCGCTGACCCGGAGCCGCGGGCCCGCCAGCCTCCCCGCTGCAGGGCGGTCCCCCGTGGGCCTGACGCCCACCCTGCTCCGAGGGGGACCCCTGGGGACAGGGCGTCCTGGGGAGGTCCTGTGGCTCCTCCTGGGGACACCACCCCGCAGGCCGCCTCCTGGCGTCAGGGCGCTGCTGTTGGGGCAGAGAAGGGGGCGCGGGTGAGGGGTGGGAGGACCCAGCCGTCCGGTGCCCAATAGCAAGGGGCAGGCGTGGCCGGCCCCACTCCCCCGACTCCGCCCCGCTGGCTGCAGGAGGGTCCCCACTGAGGCACCCTGAGCGCCTGCCCCTGGGAAACCTTGACAGAACGACGTGCGGGGCTCACTCCCGGGTCAGGACCCGGCTTCCCCTTCCGCCTGAAGAGCAGGGATCACCTGGGCTCTCTCCACCGGCGGCCTGAGATGATGGGGACCTTGGGGCCAGGGGTGTTCTGGTCCAGGGCTCCTGTTCCCCAAATGAACTTGTCCTGGGTCAGGGCTCATCCCTCTAGGAAGGAAGGACACTCGCCCCTCCTCCCCCCAAAGCCTTTCTCTTTGTTACCCCCAGCTTGGGGCCAGGTGCAGGTAAGGTGCGGCTGCCCTGAGCCCACTTCACCCCAGGGCAGCGGGCAGGGGGCAGGAGGGGATGGGCTCAGTCTCAGGGGCTCTCCCAGGTGAAAACACAGCCTTGTCACACACACATGTGCTTTATTGAACTCCATCGCAGACACGTGTGCGTCGCCAGCCGGGAGCACATGACAGTCTCGGCTCCAGGCAGGTACCAGTGGCTCTGTGACTTGAAGACATCAGTATTGCCGGGAAATGCTATAAGTAGATGCAACGATATGGAAAACGAGGAAACTGACCAACGCGAGGAAGGCAAGGATCAGCGTACAGGTGTTGAGGCACTTGGCAGTGGAGGCAAACCTCTGGGCTCCAACCATGTCTCCCACCATCTTCCGGTCTCTAGACTGGGGGAGAAGAGAGGGTGAGAGGTCTGGAGGGGTGTGGGATCCCTTACCACGACCCGCCTGGCTCAGGGGCCACTCAGAGTCCGGTTTCTGGAGAAGGTGGCACACTAAAAGGAAGAGGCTAGAAAATAGTTAATTTGGGAAAATGGGGGCCAGGCGGGAGCCCACCTCTCGGGGAGGACTACATGCTCGGGCCTTTTACCATTCCTTTTATTGAGATTCTGAGACAAAGACATCTCTTAGGTGGGAAATTCCAACAACAGGAAACCCACAAGAATTTACATATGATCAACAAATTCAAATTGCCTCCCCTATCTATCCACCACTATCTCAACTGGAAGATGAGTTAAATAGCTCCGGCCATTCAGAACCAGCTCTTTTTACATTTTACTGCCAGGGAACAATGTTTGGTTTCCGGTTAGCCAGCTCTTTTTACCTTTTACCACAATAGTGACTCAACCTTGACAATGAGTTAATACTCAGGCCATTCAGAGCCACCATCAAGGTTGGCCAGCTCCCTTTACATATTATTACCAGGGACAATGTTGGGTTTGGTTCAGCCGAGGGGCCCTGAGGACAGCCAGGTGCTGTGACTCAGGCCCGCCCCGCCCCTGGCTGCTCCCCACCCAGACCAGCCTCCACCTGCCCTCAGCCAGGACAGAGACCCCTCCTGTTCCCTGGAGCCTCAGCAGGCCAGGCCAGGCCAGGGGGGCCTCCTCATAGGTAACCCTAACGCTAACCCTAACCCTAACCCTCACCGTCAGCCTCACCGTGACCTGCACACACACATAGGTGCTCATACACCTGTGGTCCCCTGACCCCAAGGCCGTCGGGGCAGCAGACCCAGTGGGGCTCGCACACTCTCCGGGGAGACCCTGTGCACACACCCACCTTCACGGAGTAGGCGAACGCCGCGAAGCCCAGGCAGAAGGGGTTGAGGAAGAGGGTGCTGAACAGGGACCAGACCACGTGGTCACGCACCACGGTGACAGTCGGGACATCGACCACGGTGGACATCACGGGTCCTGAGTGCTGGGGAGCCCCCGTGAAGGCCAGCTCGTGTTCCTCCTTGGACATCTCCATCTTTGGGGAGCGGGTGGGGTCCTGGGTGAAGAAGGTGGACGCGTCCTGAGGCAGAGACGGGAGCCGTGTGGGGTGCCGCTGCTGGGGCCGTTCAGGCCCCTCCCTCGGGGGTGAGGGGGGTTGTGATTTCTCAGAAGCGTCCATTTCCTGCGTTTTCAACATTGGTGATGTGACTGGTTCCTAGGAGGGTGGAAGACACCCGTGACATCAGGTGACATTAGAACAAATTGAGCCGAAACCGGTCAAGTTGTGGCAGTCGCCATCAGCAGGCCTCACCTGCGTGGAGGCGGGTGTAGGTACTGTGAAAGAAAAGAGCCACAAGCTAACCTGACAAGCTCAGGGAAGGCCTGCGTGGCAGTCTTGCAAACCCAGAGACCTAAGATAACCACAAGAGATGGTCTGAACATTAAATATCTAACAGGTTATAGTAGATAGTCATGTCCCAGAGATTTCACCTGACAAAGATCAACTTTGATCTTTTACTGAGGCCCCTCTGCCTTCCTGCATCTAAGATAACATATCTGTGAGATGTCTGGGTCACTTGTAACTTCCCTTTTTCCGGAGCCCCTGGGGAACAACCAAATGTGGTGGGCGCCAGGACAGATGCCTCAAATTCCTTCTTTATCATGTTAATTGTTCCTGCACTCACCTGAGTTTACTTTTATCCAATCCCAGGAGTTTCCCACCATTTTACTTCCTCCCGCCTCCTTACTCCATCACCAATGAATTTCATGTAACCCACCTATGTCCCTCCTTTGATTTCAGTGTATAAATAGAGAAATGTAATCCACCATTCTTCGGAGCACTATCTCAATCCATTGAGGTTTTGCTTCCCGGCAATTGTCGACATTTTTGGCTCAAATAAACTCATTACAACATTCTATACAGGTTTCAATGTTTTTTTTTCGTTAACAATGCCTATGGCACAGGCCTGGCCTGGCCCTCAAGACCCCTGGCCTACCCCCTGACAGCCCAGTGGGTCAAGGCTGCAGACCAGTCCTAACCAGTTTGACTCAGTGGATAGAGCGTCGGCCTGTGGACTGAAGGATCCCAGGTTCGATTCCGGTCAAGGGCATGTACCTTGGTTGCGGGCACATCCCCAGTAGGGGGTGTGCAGGAGGCAGCTGATGGATGTTTCTCTCTCATCAGTGTTTCAAACTCTCTATCCCTCTCCCTTCCTCTCTGTAAAAATAAATAAATAAATAAATAAATAAATAAATAAATAAATAAATAAATAAAATACATACATACATATATATATATATATATATATATATATTTTTTTTTTTTTTTATTTTTTTTTAAAGGCTGCAGACCAGCCTCCCAGGGCCCTCAGCTCTCCGTGGCCCAGAGGTCTGGCGTCCGTGCTGGGCCTCAGGTTCCAGGTTCTGATCCTGAAAGCGCGTCCCCCGGACCCCTTCGGTGCCAGCTGTGGCTATTCCCATGGGAAACGATCCTATTGAAAGAGCGGGTGTGGCCCTGGGCTCCCTGGACCCGCTGACCCCGCGGAGCCAACGTGCACCCGTCCGGGTGTGGAGGGAGCCCTGCCTGGCGCCTGGTCTGGAGAGAGGGCAGGGGGTTGGGATGCACCTGCTACAGTCCTGATGGCTGCACAGCTCAGCGGGTGATGAAGGAGGCGGGAGCACAGTGGCGTGTGGCGAGGCAGAGGCGGGACCTGCCGGGATAACGATTCCTTCCCATGTGTGGAATGACACCAGGTTATCATCCTCCACCACGTTTGTGACCCATCAGCCTTCTTGTCTTCTTTTTTAAAAAAATATATTTTATTGATTTTTACAGAGAGGAAGGGAGAGGGATAGAGAGTTAGAAACATCGATGAGAAAGAAACACCGATGAGTTAGAAACATCGACCAGCTGCCTCCTGCACACCCCCTACTGAAGATGTGCCCGCAACCAAGGTACATGCCCTTGACCGGAATCGAACCTGGGACCTTTCAGTCCCCAGACCAACGCTCTATCCTCTGAGCCACACCGGTCAGGGTCAGCCTTCTTTCCTCAAACATTATTTCTGTCCCTCAACTCTCGCCCATCCTCTCCTCAACTCTCGCCCAAGGCTGAGTTAGCTTCCCTTTGCCTTCTTTTCCTTGTGCCTCACAGGCCCCACAGGCGCTCTCTCTCTCTCTCTCTCTCTCTCTCTCTCTCTCTCTCTCTCTCTCTCTCTCTCCTCCCTCTCTCTCTCACTGCTAAGCTCCGGGAGGGACGTGCTCATGGTTTTGGTCCTTTCCCCATCACCCTGTGTTGATGACTCTGTGTTTGTGTTGGCACATCCATTGGGCGCTGTTCCCCCCACCCTCCACACTTTATCTATTAATAGTTTGTTCGACGTGGTTGACTCTGCTTCTTCAGACGTATCCGCGAGGAGACTTCACGCGGGAATAGGCTTCCTCAGACACAACTCCAAGTGACCGTTCTTCCCCCCCACCCCCCACCCCACCCCCGGGGTGGACCACAGCTTCCTGTTTTCTGTCCCGTTTCTCACAGCCCCTGTGGGGAACTGGCTTTGGAAACAATAAAACTCGGCTGTGGGACTGGCCCGCCCCCCAGAGGCACTGCCACCGCCCTGCCTCTTAGGTAACTGACTGCTTTGTCCTGCGTGGCATCAGGTGACCGTGTCGAAATCTGTGGTGAACTAATGTTTGGACACAGATTACTTAAATGACTGAAACCTTACAGTAAGCCCCACTCTTTTTTTTGGGGGGTGGGGAGGGGGGGTCAGGGAACATGTCGGGGCGTGCCCGCAGCACAGAGGCAGTTGCTGAGAAGCCGGAGCCTCCTGCCCCCGGAGCGGGGACACGGCCCGGCCCCCCGTTCCTGAGCCGAGCCCCTCCCCACGCCTGTGGCCGCTCGGGGAGGAATTGCCGGGACGCACCGTTAGCCGCTCAGAAACGTGCGTTTCGGTGGCATTTACTGCTCTCTCCATGTTGTGCAACTACCGCTGTCCTAGAGTCAACTTTCCTTCCCCCAGAAAGCACCCAGCGCCATTAGGCAATCACCCCCACTTCCCTGTCCCCCGGCCCGGGTTGCCACCCAGCTCTGTCTAATGGAAGTGCCTCTTCTGGGTGGAGCCTGTGAAAGGGGTCATACCTTGGATGACTTTGAGTCTGTCTTCTTTTTCTTTCTTTTCTTTTTTTATTAATATATTTCATTGTGTGTGTGTTTTGTTTGTTTTTTACAGAGAGGAAGGGAGAGGGATTGAGAGCTAGAAACAACCATGAGAGAGAAACATCGACCAGCTGCCTCCTGCACACCAACAGCTGGGGATGTGCCTGCAACCAAGGTACATGCCCTTGACCGGAATCGAACCCGGGACCTTTCAGTCCGCAGACCGACGCTCTATCCACTGAGCCACGCCGGTTAGGGTGCTTCTTTTTCTTTGTATTATAAAACGCTTTTGCGGGCCACCCACGGGCTAGCCCATTAGGACTTTGTCCCTTTTAGGGCTGAGTAACACCCTCCGTGTGTGTGCCGGAGGGTGAGGCGTTTGATCTCTCACCCATTGCCAGGCACCGGGCTGTCGCCACATCGGGGCCAGCTGCTGCCATGACCACAGTGCCCAAGTCGGTCCAGACATGCTTTCTCATCCCGTCCCCGCCCCCCACACACACCTGGGTGAGAGTTGCTGGGTCTCATGGTTGCTTTGTTTGGAGGCGGGTGGCTGCCCCATTTCACATCCCACCAGCCCTGTGGGGGGTTGGTTTCTCTCTCTTTCCGCACAAACACTTGTTATTCCCTGGCACTTTGGTGACGTCCATCCGAATGGCAGTGTCATATTGTCAATCAGAAGGCGCCTTCATCGATAAGCCAAATGCGTTTGGAGTCCTGTCCATTTTGCTAGCGCTAGCGGACCAGAGGAAATCTTGCTTCTCAATTCTGGGGTCCAATATGGTGGAAATCTCCCTTATTTATACATGGAGCGGCCAGATGATGATCTCTGAACGCATAATCACCTGGCCACTCAGTGTATATCCTATATAATAAAAGGCTAATATGCAAATGGTCCCCTCGACCAGGAGTTCGACCAGCAGGCAGGCTGGCCAACCACCTATATCCCATCCCCCCTGGCCAGGCTGGCCAGACCCCACCCATGCACAAATTTGTGCACCGGGCCTCTCCTATAAATATAGATAGATAGATAGATAGATAGATATAGATATAGATATAGATATAGATATAGATATAGATATAGATATAGATATAGATATAGATATAGATATAGATATACACTGAGTGGCCAGATTATTATGCATTCAGAGATCATCATCATAATCTGGCCACTCAGTGTATGTTTTTCAGCTCTTTGTTTTCCAAATTTGAAATGAGACTTGCGGACCTTCTCGGAAAAAGTCCCCAGTGCTGGGACAGGCTGTGACACCAGATCTCAAGGCCTGGCCTGGCGCCAGCACTGACAGCTCTGTCTGGGCACAGTTTATGGCCTCTCTGGAATGGGAGCAGTCTTACTTTTCCCTGTCATTTAAGCAAGCAAATGTTTACAGAAGCCAGAATAGCACAGTTAAATTTTAAACAGCAGTTTTTACCCAAGATGGAGGTTACTATGCTTCAGTAGCTCCTTGTGGTTTGATCTGCATTTCTTAGTAATCATAATGGTGAATATCTTTTCAGATGCTTATTGGTCATTTGTATGTCTTCCTTTTTAAAAATGTATTTTTTGCCGAAGCCGGTTTGGCTCAGTGGTAGAGCGTCGGTCTGCGGACTGAAGAGTCCTGGGTTCAATTCCAGTCAAGGGCATGTACCTTGGTTGCGGGCACATCCCCGGTGGGGGATGTGCAAGAGGCAGCTGGTCGATGTTTCTGTCTCATCGACGTTTCTAGCTCTCTATCTCGCTCCCTTCCTCTCTGTAAAAAATCAATAAAATTTATATTTTTAAAAAAATTTAAAAAAATAAAAAAATTTTTTCTCATTGATTTCAGAGAGAAGAAGTGAGAGGGAGAGAGAGACAGAAACATTGATGATCAGCAATC